CGATCAAATTTGGTTAAAGCAACAAAGATAAAGTAAGGTCTCAACATGACATATCGCTCAAAGAAAAAAAATAGCAGATGGCTGTAGGGCTCGGTGACACCCGAACCAGTGGTTTGACATCAAACACCGTAAAACATAGCAAGAGATGCAGGCTACAGAAGGACACCCAAAAGCCCGTCAGATTGTTCAAAGGGTTTCTCAAAAGGCCACTCTTTAAAACTCAATCTTCCTGAATTGAACTCAAATCAATGTTTAATTACCATTACCAATAACCATGTGCATGTTTGCTTTTACGTTTACTCAGAAACATCTTCACTCATGTTTTTCTAATAAACTACCCTATCAAATAATCAATTATTGTATTGTATGTAATTCATCTATCATTTATTTGTATCAAATCCCATTTTTCTTAAGTAATGTATTTTATCAGCTTGCTAAGTCTTTTTTTAATTCAAGTTGTAATCAGTTTTTTATCATTACTCTGAATATTTTTCAGCCGTTACATTTTAATTTGTTCTTTATCTTTAGTATTTTTCCATCCTCAAGGCAAAATGAGAATGCCCCCAAGATGAGAATGGAAACATATCTTTTTACAAGAACCTTCACAACTGTGATGTAGTTTGGCAAAATCATGACAGTTTGCAGCAGATTTAAACCACCTTGCAGCCCAATTTACCCACAGTTTTACCAGGCACCCTACGGCCAGTAGCCAAAATGATCACAAAAAAGGGGGAAAGACCATGGTAGCTTGGATTCCAAACCAAGTTATATTTACACCTTCTAAATTCAAATAAGGCTACCTCAAAACAACTAGGAAAACTGAGACAAGAGAGCTGATAGATGGCCAATGAGAGGCTTAGGTGAGGACCAAGTGTTGTCCCAGCAGGAGAATAAAAGCACCGAGCAAAGAACCATAACGCTTTGGCAGAGCCATCATAACATGTTTCATCTTGCAAAAAGGGGACTTTAAAACTAGCATTTACCCATACCAGAGCAGTCCACAATGCCCTCAATATGTGTTAAACATGCAAACATTAAAATCATACTAAAATCATCCACATGTCAGAAGGTAAACACCACTCCTTAAAAATGAAAGTGGGAGAATACCATTCTTCAACAGTTTTGCACATTTACCAAGATGAATAAGTGTATTTGCTTTACAAGAACTGTTTTGACTTTATGACCAACTTTGCAATCAAACATTCCAAAGAGTAGTGGTTTATTACTGGATTTATATTTTGGGCATTTGCATTTTAGCACTTAAAGTACTTGTTAAGCATGTATATACAGATATATAGTCCAATCGACGAGTTGAAGGAATTTGAAGACGACATGCTACATGCTGTGCTGATACCATCGACAAAATTCAACAAGTAAACCACCGTTTTCTCGACAAACTCGAAGACAACACCAAACGCATAAAAAACGAAACCAAGCTACACATCGCCGCTGACAAAACAAAGAACTTTTACAAACTAGAACCGTCAACATACAACGATCTACGAGAACGCAATATCACAAAGTCCCACAAAAAAGCACAACTGAATACCACATGAGCCATCCATTCAGAAAACAAATACATCGCAACGAAACTGGGCATCGATGACAGGGTGGACACCACAGCCAACAAAGACGCATTCAAAATATATTAAAGTTCACATGGCAACCAGGTGGACAATCAGACATGGTTTGATGCTACT